CTAGTAAATGAAGTCATTACCGCTGCATACTCAAAGGAAGCTGAGTTGAAATAGAAAGGGTTAACTACAAGGAGAAAACAATCAGAAGGCTTATCTACCGAGCAAGAGGGAGGTCTACAAGTAGAGAAGACCAGGGAAACAACAAGCAATGGAACAACAAGGGAAAGAGTAGGTTCAGGTCAAATTCTAGAGGAGCAGCAAATTAAAAACAAGACAAAGCTTGTTGGATCTGTGGAAGTGAGAGCCACTGGAAGAGAGACTGCCTAGAGCGCAAGAAGTCAAACTACTTTGGCATGACAAGCAGTTCAGCAAACATTGCCAGGACTCTACCAGGACCAGTGTCTCTAATGGCTAGCTTAGTAATATCAAGCGAGGAGTGGGTCTTAGACTCAGGATATACTTTCCACATCACACCTCAGAGGGATTATCTAACAGAGTTCGACAAATTTGAAGGAAGCAAAGTTATGATGGGAAATAACTCTTCTTGCACAATGCAAGGCATGGAAAATGTTACGATAGACAACTATGATGGAACGACAGTGATCCTATATGAAGTACGCTACATTCCAGAGATGGGAAGAAACTTGATCTCTTATGGTAAATTAGAAAAATCAGGTTGCAGCTACAAAGGGAAAAACTACTTGGTTCAGTTCTATAAAGAAGATAAGAAAGTGTTGTAAGGAAAATACTGCAACGGACTCTACTACCTATAGGGCATTGTAAAAAGGCTAGAAGGAAACTCAGTGGCGGAGAGCACTAAACATACCAAAAGGTGGCATACTAGATTGGCTCATATAAGTCTACGGTCCATGGAGACTATAGCTAGGAAGGGTTATCTCAAAAAGGAAGAAGTAGGCAAGTTGGAGTTCTGTGAAGCATGCACTATAGGAAAAGGTCATAGATAAAAAAATTCCCAAAGAAAAACGTACCAATAAGGAGGTTCTAGATTACATTCATTCTGACCTCTGGGGGTCACCTAATACGATGTCGAGCTTATTAGGGGCTTAAGACTTCTTAACTTTTACTGATGATTATTCTAAAAAGTCTGGATTTATTTTCCTAAAACTAAGTCTGAAGTATTTGGTTGCTTTGCAGAGTGGAAAGCTCTCGTGCAAAACCAAACAAGAAGAAAGATTAAAAGCCTAAGAACAGACAAGAGACTAGATTTCTGTAACCAGAAGTTTGATCAACTCTGTAAGGAAGTTGGGATAAGAAGGCACAATACTTTCCCCTATATGCCACTACAAAATGGCATCTCGGAAAGAATGAATAGGATGATAATGGACAAGGTTAGATGAATGCTAAGCGAGTCAGGGTTGGATGGAAGCTACTGGGCAGAAGAACCCTCCACAGTTATCTATATAATCAACAGGTCACCTAACCCATCAATCAGGTTTGAGATCCCTGAGGAAAAGTGGTCAGGGCACAAACCAGTGTACAGAGTCATCTACGGAGTTTGGTTTGCATTTCCTATGTTCACCAAATGAAAGAAACGACCAGTTCCAGAGCGGCTAAAGGGATTTTTTAGGGGTATGCATAAAGGACACAAAGTTACAAGATTTGGCTTCTTGAGGAACATGAATTGATAGTCAGTAAAGACGTTGTCTTCATAGAAGAGAAACTGTACAAAGACATCAAGAAAGAACATGCAGATGAAGACACAAGTACGCAAAGCATAAAAAAGGTAACATTCAGAAGTGATCCCAAAGATGTGTACGAAGATGTGGACTCAAGATTAGGTGGAGCTTCCTCAGAGGTCACTCAACAAGAACCATTAGAAACTGGAGAAGCTTCAGCATGATCAAAAGAAGATGAATCAGACAGTGAAGAAGTAGAAGGACAAACTGAGGAACTTGGAAGCTATGTTCTAGCGAGAGACAGAGCTAGAAGAACCATAAGACCTCCATCAAAATTTGAAGATTGCACTGAAAGCAAGGACTGGAAACCGGAAAGCAATCAAGAAGCTATGGAAAGCAAGGACTGGAAACTATGGAGAGAAGCGTCAGATGAAGAGATGAAGTCTCTTGAGAAGAACCACATTTGAGATTACACAGAAAGACCTAGGGATCATCAGGTCATTGGGTGTAAGTGGATTTACAAGCTCAAGCCGCGAATTCTGAGAGAGAATCAACCACCGAGGTATAAAGGAAGATTAGTAGCTAAAGGATACACTCAGATTGAGGGAGTGGATTACAATGAAATGTTTGCAGAAATACAGAAGAAGCAAGTTCAATCCATGTGTTTACATGAAAGGTTCGAAGCTGGATTATTCGTAGACAACATGTTAATAGCAACAAAGGAAGGAGGCAAGATTAATAAATTGAAGAGTCAGCTAAGCAAGGAGTTTGAGATGAAAGATCTCGGAGCTGCGAGAGGATCTTAGGAACGGACATACACATGAATAGATCAAAAGGTCCATTGATCTTATCTTAGAATGATTACCTAGCTAAAGTTCTAAAGACATTTGGGATGGAGGAATGTAGAGCGGTGAGTACACCGCTAGGCTCACACTTTAAACTATAGAGTCTAACAAAAGAAGAAGAGGAGCTACAAGCATTAGAGATGGAAGACATACCGTACTTAAGTGTGGTTGGTAGTCAGATGTACGCGATGGTGGGGTCTTAACCTGACTTGGCTTATGTTGTGGAGCTGGTGTGCAGATTCATGAGCAAACCTGGAAAAGCACACTGTTTAGCTGTGAAGTGGATTATGAAATACATAAATGAAGCGTTAGAAGTCAACTTAAATTTCTCAAGGGGAAGTGACTTCAACATCAGAAGATACTGCGACTCGGATTATGCGTCAGACTTGGATAAAAGCAGGTCCATCACTGGATATGTTTTCACAGTTGGAGGCAACACGGTCAGCTGGAGGTCTTCTCTGCAGAAGGTAGAGAACTGTCAACAACGGAAGCAGAATATATGGCTCTATCAGATTCAATCAACAAAGCGCTATGGTTAAAAGGCATTTGTAAGGAAATGAAGCTAAGCAACGATGTGGTGGTCCATTGTGACTCTCAAAGTGCTATCTACCTAGCTAAGAACTTCTTGTAAAGAGAGAAAATTAAGCATATAGCTACTAAGTACAATTTCATAAGGGAGCTAATAGCATATGAAGGACTCAAAGTCATTAAGATACACACGTCGGTAAATCCAGCCGATATGTTAACAAAGGTTTCACCTGGAGAGAAATTCGAGGGATGCAGGGCTAAGCTAGGCGTCATTGAAGCCTGATTACCGTGGAAAACAGTCGTCTTTGGAATTGAGAAGACGGTTGGATTTAGTTTAAGTTCTCGGAAGTCAGAGAGACGGGTGAAAGAAGAGGGGTTCGAAGTGAGGACAAAAGAACCCTGAAGGAAGACCAGGACGGAATAGGAGAAGGCCCAGGAAGACGGCAAGGTAAAAGTGGGCTTAGGGTTCATTCGGCGGAAACAGAGAAATTCTGTCTGATTAGGGTTCTGTCTACTTTCCAAGGTGGATATTTTGAGTTGGTAAGCATTCAGAACATACCGAAGTGTTGTTGGGCTGTAAGTGGATACGTGAACGAGGCCCATTACCTGAAGTTCAAGCAGGAAAGGAGAAACAAGATAAGATTGGGCCGGTAATTAAATGAAAGGCCTAAATACAATTCAGTATAAAAAGGGTTGTACAGAGGAAGCAGCAGAGGAGTGTAACCTCCGTAACAAACTTGATCTTCATTTTCTTCTTTCCTCCGCCATTGTTGTATTCTCGAACTTGATCTTTTGAATTTTAGGTACCGTCCTGAAAGAGATGTACTCTGTGGAAAAATGGGGAACTCTAAAACTTGTTTGTGTCATATTGTTTACGCTTTCTTCTTCTTGTGTTCTCGTGAGTGAGTGGAGTTGCGATCTGTGAACACACGAGAGATTCTCGAGAAAGTTAGAGAGTTAATCGGATTACATACTGGTCGAGTGAATCCAATTCTTCTACAAAAACATGTCATAGTAATTAGACATCACTAATATACTAGATATTACTTTGTCTAAACTTTCGATGTAAGATTTGATTGATTTCAGAACAAAGTTATTGCAGTGCAATGGTTGAATCTAGTTTTCAAGAAATTCTTGGTAAATTAACGAGCTACTTACTACCTTTATACACATATACATACATTACAATGACTTTTTACCGAATGGTAAAATAATACTTCCTCCGTTTCAATTTAGTTGTCATTTTAGGTTTTTGCACACAGATTAAGAAAACAATTAATTTTACATATTTGCAAAATAAAAACTCAATTACCTATACACCTAACTACTTTTCAACCAATGAAAAAATAGAATGACTTTTAAAATCAATAAATTTTGCATTGAAATTATAAAACGACACTTATTTTGAAACACAAATTTTACTCTAGAATGACATTTAATCTGAAACAGAGGGAGTATAAGAAGAGTAAGTCTTCTGGTACATGGAAAACTAACCATATTTACAGACCAATCTACCGGTTCTTATGCACTCAGAGATCAACCTTAACGGGATATCTATGGATGCAATGTTCCCAAGGATTGTTAACCGATGGATCGAAATCGCCAAGAGCCACCCAAACTGCGCTGTTACACTTAAACCCACTTCCAAAAGCAATCTGCCAAATTCGGTTCCCTTAAGAACTCCGAATCAATCATGCTTCTGATATTGTTCACTTTAAGTTCAAGTGGAAAATTTCTTGTAGATTTGTTTTTGGGTTCTTTATCAAAACATGTCATAGTAATAAGACATTAAATATACTAGATATTATATCTAAACTTTCGATGTAAGATTTGGTTGATTTCAGAATAAAGTTGTTGCAGTACAATGGTTGAATCTAGTTTTCAAGAAATTCTTGGTAAATTAACCAGCTACTTACTACCATTATACACATATACATACATTTATACATTGAATTTTTACTGAATGGTAAAAAAATATAAAGAAGAGTAAGTCTTCTGGTACATGGAGAACTAACCATATTTATAGACCAATTTACTGGTTCTTATGAACTCAGAGATCGACCTTAACGGGATATCTATGGATGCAATGCTCCCAGGAATTGTTAACCGATGGCTCGACATCACGAAGAGCCACCCAAACTGCGCTGTTACACTTAAACCCACTCCCAAAAGCAATCTGCCAAACCCGGTTCCCTTTCTTCATTCTTCCTTTGGCTTCCGTATAAGCCAACTCATACCATATAGAACTCGATGAAGTGTTACCAAATCTATGCAACGTCATTCTCGACGCTTCCACATGCTTTGGCAAAAGCCTTAAACTCTTCTCCAGCTCGTCTATCACAGCTCGACCTCCAGCATGTATACAGAAATGATCAAACGCAAGCTTGAAATCCGGTACGTAAGGCCTCATCTTCTTCTTGGCTTTGAACAGTTTATTAGCAACAAAAGTTGCGAAAAATAGAATCTGCTCGCTCATGGGGAGAACAAGAGGACCTAAAGTGGTGATATTCGTCTTAAGAGCTTCTCCAGCTATAGCCATTAGGTCTTTAGACAAGGACACACCTGTTTTCAAAGCCTCGTCTTGTTCTTGATACACGCAGTTAAATGCTTTCTCATCAGATCCTTTATGAGTCCTAACCGTGTGAACAAGCTTATACTTGGACCGTTTACGATCGCAACTCTTGTTAGAGAGCAGAACCGCGGACCCACCAAGCCTAAACAAGCAGTTAGGTATCAACATCGCTTTCTTATTACCAAAGTACCAGTTCTGAGTTATGTTCTCCGTGCTAACCACAAGAGCAAAAGTGTTTCTATAAATCTTTAACATGTCATTAGCTAGATCAATAGCTATGACGCCAGCACTACAACCCATTCCTCCTAAGTTAAAGCTCTTCACGTTCTCTCTAAGCTTATACTTGTTCACAATCATGGACGATAAAGAAGGTGTAGGGTTAAACAAACTGCAGTTCACTACAAGAACACTTATCTCCTTAAGGTTGACTTTGGTGTTCTCGAAGAGACTGTCTAGTGTACTGAAGATCACCTGCTCCGCTTCCTCACGCGCCGCGGCCATAGTGGGACGCGGAGGGATGGAGTGGACGGCCTCCGGTAGGTATGTCTGGTCGCCGAGACCGGATCGTTTCAGGATCTTGCTTTGAAACTCGAGAGATGATTCGTTGAAAGTCCCCGTTATTATGGAATGTTTCATGAACTTTTGGTGGTCTAATTTGAGAGTTGATGGTGGGAGGTAGCAGGAGTAGTCAAGAAGGTAAACTGATCTTGGTCGGGACATGAAGAAGAGAGTGGTTCCGAGAACGGTGACGAGGAAGATGAATGCGAGGAGATTGTAGTGGAGATGGAGCGAGAGCTGGTTTAGGCTTAACCGGGAGATGTTCATGAGCAAAACTGATATCAAAGGGACAAGTAAGAGCTTAGGGAAGTTAGTAATTAGGTAATGATAGTATAGCTTGACGTTCTTACGGATCTTTGCGTTTTCATCCATAGGAGATTTCTACTAAAAAGAATGTGAGTTTTGCTGGTTATTCTGGTGAGGATTTAAGATGGGGTTGTGTGCGTATATATACACGTTGTCGTTGTACTTAGTGAGAGATTTAAAGAAGAAAGCGTAATGGTTTGTGTTTAATCACCATTTTCACAAGGTTATGTTGGGTGGAGTTTGATATAACTAAAAAACAGATAGAAGTCGCCATTGATGATTACGTGGAAGAATGTGGCATCATGTGCATGGGCCAAGTGATGGAAGATATACGGAGACAACAATGAGTTTTTTTAACAGGTGAATATGGAAACATAGAGTTCGATCTGAATCCATCTCAGAAAATTTCAACCCAGTGATATATGAGAAGAAAAAGGAATCTTCATGAGAATGGAGGTGAAAATGAGCTTGGTCTTGGGCTACCCATACGTTTTGTTTAAAAATCTTTGGTATATTTATTTTGGATTGTGCGGTTATATATTGCTTAGGGCAATTCTAAATTAGCAGTGTTCAATCCGGTAAAACCGAACTAATTAAAACCAAACAAAAATAAAGAAAGTGGTTTCAATTTAGTAATATCAAATAAATCGAATAAATATTAATTTTAAGAAACAACAGTATGTGGATATGATTCAATATATAAACTGATCAAAGCAAATAAACCGAGTAATTAAAATATGTTAGATACTAATATGAAATTTTATTATAAAATTAATAATATTATTCATGTTTATGTATTAATATGATATTCTTATTTATAGAACTATTTTATTAATTTTTTATTTGTTCTAAGTTAAAATATCTCATTTATCAAATCAAATAAAACATATTTTAGTGGTGATATAGTTATTTAAGAATATTATGATGTTAATATTTTTCATATTTTTAATTTTTAATAGTAAAAATACAAAATATTCTATTTTAAAATTAGAATACAGAGTATATATTATATTTTAATAAATTTGATTTCTAATCATATAAACTCAAATGTATCATAAAGATAAATATAGTTATAGTTTTGTGTATAAAACCAAAAATTGCTAGTATATAAACCAAACCAAACCAAAGTAAATATGGTATTAATATGGTAGATAATTTTTATAAACCGAAATACCAAAAAATAAAAAATAAAAAAATCAAACCAACATCCAGATTAAACATCCCTAATCCCAATGGTAGTATTGGAAAAAGTATTTACCAATTAAAGAAAATAAAAAATAAAATAAAAGAAGAAAGAGAGTAGATTTATGACAGAAAGTTCTTTGTAGACATCTGGAAAAAAATGGCTCATATAGGTGAATATATAAAAGTGGGATGGTAATTGCAAAAGCATATCACAATAATAATTATTTGCAAAACCGAGTAGCGGAGCAGGTAAAATGACGAAATGATCGTTGGAGCTAAATGATAGGCCTGCGGACAGCATAGAGCAAATATATTTAATAATTTAGATATTGTTTATGTCGGAATGTAAAACTTGTAAATATATGTCTCTCACCGAAAAAATGGAGAAAATCTAGAGAACATGTGAGAAAGTGATTTATTTAACAATTCGTTAGATTTTTTTTTCTGTTTTTAGCGTGCAGGTTTGAGAGTGAAAGGTGAAGCTTCCTTTCATGATAATCCTTACAGTAGATCTGGTTTGCTATTAGATTTGGATGACATTTTGAGGCCTTAAGCTTAAAATTGAGTGCTACATGTAAAATCTATGAGTATTAAGCATAAATATTAAGGAAAACGCAAAGGAAACTCATGAAAATCAATGAAACAAAGGTAGGGTTGCTCTGAAGTTTTGTTTCTTAAACTCAACAACGTATTTGGGAAGAAGATGGAAGAAGATGATGAAAAATACAACTCTGTCACTAAGGAGAAAAAAAAATGCCCAGTAACGCAAGCCTAATGTATGTCTTAGCTGGATATTAAAAATGTAATCTGGATACAATAATTCTAAATCCCGATGAGCTAAATCTATAACCGGATAAGTTACACTGTAACCAGATATATTTCTATCATTTGATTATTTTCTAACAAGATATTCAGATATATGTAGTATTAACCGATCCTAAAATATCACAACACTACATATATTAAAAATCAATATTTTGGTTCACCCTCTATAGTGAATGGTTAAACCCTGGATCAAAAACTCGATATTCTGATATTCTAAACCCCAAGTCCAAAATTATAAACCAAAAAATTTAAAGCATAAACCCAAACCTTAAATCCTAAAATCTAAATCCAAAACTCTAAACCCTAAATCTTAAACCATAAATTCTAAACAATAAGTTATAAATCATAAACTCTAAACCCTAAATTCTAAACTTTAACCCCAAAACTAAATCCTAAACTTTGAACATTAAACCTTACACCATAAACTCTAATACAATTTTGTGTGTTTATATTATACTATATGTAAATTTGTAAAATTAATAATCAACTATTACAAGTTAAATTTAATAGCAAGTTTAAAAGAACTTAATATATCTTCCAAAAGTTTAAAATATAAGGTTGGAATACATCATGGGGTTGAAATGAATTATTAGAAAAAATAGAGTAATGCTTATGCATGGTTTTTTTTTCTTGAACAAAATTTTGTATGAGTTTTATAACTAGATTTTATATAGATGTTTTGGATTAAATTTGTAATAGCCAGCAACACCATTTTGTTAACCAAGATTTTCAAATGTATTGTCTTCAAATGAAATTGGTAATAATTACATTTTGTGTAAAAAATATGTTGAGATGGATATGATATATAATTTCCAGATATGATACTCTCTCCCCCTCTTTTCTATTTCTCATTCACTCTTGTTCTATCTACATCAACATCAGTAGATGTGTCTGTATCTGAATCCACAACACCAACAACATCATTCCCATTGTAATCGTACATAGTACTACTAGTCACTGCACTATTCCCATTGGAATCGTACATATGAATCTTGACCGGATATTAATTACAAAGTTAATCCGGATATTACAAAGCTCATTAGTTGATAACTGATGAATTATCATGTTAACTAACTGTGAAACCTGATAATAATATTCATACATTTTCACCATCTCAGAAAAAAAAAGCCAATAACCATCTCAAACTTTCCTCCTTATTACAACAATCCAATAATTTGATCGCCAATGTCCTTCTCTAATGGATCAAGTGAGAATTGATTGTTCTCTAGTTCCATTATAATCTCTAAAATCTGCAAAGTAAAATGTGAAGAAACAAGATAACAAATTAGTTAAAAGTTAAACCAAACTAACTTATAGAAAACAAACCTAGTTCAATGCTTTTCTGAATAATAATGCTTTGTATCCAGAAAAAAAATACGAAATGAATATGAAACAAAGACAAGAAGATAAAAAAAAAAGAAAAATGAAGATGCATAATCAACAAGAACCAAAACTCAAAAATTCTATAAAAAAGATGGTTGGATATCAAGTAACAGATTTAAGAAAAAACAATGAATCAAAGTCAATCTAGTTGATTTTCAAAAGAAAAATACTGGGATGAACATTAAAAAAATCTGATGAACCGGATGAATATACATACCAAACATGAATAGCTTTACCTTCATATTGTTGCATGTTCCTTTCGACGAAAACAGTACGAGAGGACCTCTGAGCGTCAAGTCGGATCTTTGAAAGTGTTTGAATTTCCTTATCATTCACAAAGCATGTACAAGAGTATTTATCGACAAAGATCTCCTAGATTACAGGAGAAATATACTAACGTAAATGACTTGATCAACAAGTAGAATATTATCTAGGAATATTCTTTCACCCTCCCTCAGTTTGGACGTGGGATTGTCGAACGTTCAAGCTGGTCCTGAATGAGTTGAAGAGTGAGGTAGGTAGGCCTTTGGTGAAGATATCGGCGTACTGAAATTCTGATGGAACATGTAGTACTTTAACCTCACCAATGGCAACTTTCTCTCGTACGAAGTGGAGGTCCAGCTCCACATGTTTTGTTCGTTGGTGCTTGACAGGGTTGCTGGACAGGTAGACTGAGCTGACATTGTCGCAGAAGATGAGAGTGGCTTTGCGTATCGGTATGTGAAGCTCTAGGAGTAAGTTTCGTAGCCAACACGTCTCAGCTACTGTGTTTGCAACACCTCTGTATTCAGCCTCTGCACTGCTGCGTGAGATTGTCTGCTGTCTTTTTGAAGACCAAGATATCAGGTTTTCTCCTAGATAGACTGCATACCCTGACGTTGATCTTCTTGTATCTGGACAGCCGGCCCAATCTGCATCAGAATATGCAGTTAATGAATCGATCTTTGACTTGAAAAGCTGCAGACCGTGAGAGGTGGTGCCCTGAATGTAGCGTATGATTCTCTTAAGTGCGTGTAGATGAGACACACGAGGGTCATGCATGAATAAGCATATCTGCTGAACCGCATATGTGATGTCAGGGCGCGTAAATGTTAAGTACTGCAGCGCTCCGGGCAAGCTTCTGTATTGTTTCGGATCATCAACTTTGTCACCTTCCTTGGCTGATAGCTTTGAGTTAACATCCACCGGTGTTTTCAACGGCTTACAGTTTTCCATTCCAGCTCTCTTTATTATCTCTGATGCATAATGCTGCTGAGATAGAAGGATTCCTGCAGTGTTGTACTCAACTTTTAATCCAAGAAAGTGAGATAAACTACCCATGTCCGTCATTGGGAATTCTTGTTTGAGGCTTGAAACGATGGTATCAATCAGTGTTGGAGATGACCCGGTGAGAACAATATCATCTACATAGAGTAGAAGATAAGCAAGTTGGAGCCCTTTCTTGTAGACAAACAACGAGGAGTCTGATTTAGCTGAAGTGAAACCGAGCTTTTTGAGGAATTGACTGAAGCGAGCATTCCAAGCACGTGGTGATTGTTTGAGTCCATAGAGAGCTTTGTCAAGCTTGCATACATGTTGTGGATGGTGTTTGTCCACAAATCCTGGAGGCTGATACATGTATATGGTCTCAGAGATTTTACCATGTAAGAAAGCATTTTGCACGTCTAATTGCCTGATGTTCCATTCTCTGCTTAGCGCCACATTAAGGACCATTCTGATTGTCGCTGGCTTCACAACTGGACTAAAGGTCTCGTCAAAGTCGACACCACGCTCCTGTGTTTTTCCATTTGCCACCAATCGAGCTTTATGACCTTTAAGAACTCCATCTGCATCAAATTTGTGCTTATCCAGCCATAAAGAGTTAATCACGTTAGCACCATAAGGCCAAGGCACAAGACTCCAAGTCTTATTCTTAATTTGAGCATCGTATTCTTTAGTCATTGTTGCCGGGTTCCAGTTCGGATCAGCAAGGGCTTTTTGGTGAGTGGTTGGGATTCTAGAGAGTGAGGAAGTGAGAAGAGTGAAGATTTTCTTTGGCTTAACTATCCCAAGTTGACCACGAGTTGTCATGGGATTTGAGTTGTAGACAAGCAATCTATCGTAACTGAAAAGAAAAAAATAAAGAAAAGAGAATCAGAGTTTGGTAAGCTCTAATACCATGAAAGTGTTTGAATTTCCTTATCATTCACAAAGCATGTACAAGAGTATTTATCGACAAAGATCTCCTAGATTACACGAGAAATATACTAACGTAAATGACTTGATCAACAAGTAGAATATTATCTAGGAATATTCTTTCACTGGTCAATGGAAATCACGGTTGCGCACAGGGAATTGCAACGACGTCGTCATGGTTTCAGAGAGAGAGAGAAACTCAATATTTTGTGTTTAGTGGTTCAAATAAAAAGCAAAGCAAAAAGCATAAGAAAAAAAAGAAAGAACAATCAGCCTTACTTATTGATGAATTTTGTTCAGGAAAAGCTTTACTCTTCCATTAATGGATCTAGTTCTGGAGAAGCTTTTGTTTTTGGTCGAAAACTTCAGAAAATGAAAAGATGCAAATTCTTTCGGTTATTAATGTAAAAATAGCGACACTAGGTTTAGTGTAAGAATAGGGGCACTACTGATATTATGAAAAATGTAATAATGTCATGTATATTTAGTTAATTAAATTTGTTTCTATGTATATCCAATGTAAATTCCCAAAAAAGTAGAACCTCTTCACCACATGTCATTTAGTGATTGATTCTTTCCCTTTCAATATTTTAAATTAATTAGATAATAAATTATCTTACACATATTAACCATTGGAAATACTTTTAAGCTACCATTAGTGGTAGTTTCTCAACATAATTCTGAAAATTAACATACTTAGGAAAAAAAGTGGAAAGAGAATATCAAATATGAAGATATAACTCTAGATATCTTTTTATTTATGTATTTCATATTTATTAAACCATTTTTTGTTTAAAATTTTTAATAACAAAAATGAAGTATATGTGTGAGATATTCTTTCAAGTTACTAAATCACTATTAATAACAAAAATGAAGTACATGTGTGGAGATGTTAATTTGAGGTTTTAATTAATAAAATATTTGTAATTTTAATTTCAATTTTAATTGTAAAACAACAATCGACCATTGACTGATAAACACGTGGATTTACTATTACACATATGGTTCCTGCAGTTCATTGTTTGAGAATTTTTTTCAATTTATCTTTCCTATTTTTTTATTATTTTACTTTTTGTAGAAAATTTCATCTTAATAACTCAGATGAAGGTGCTTTTATAATCAACTTAAAAATATGGTGAAAAAAATTGAGCCTCTCATAAATGATAATATATTTCTTCCAACTTTTTGGTAAAACTCCTCGGTGAGAGATTTTTCTCTTCTCTTTCCTTTTTTTTTTTAATATTTACTTTTTTATTAATTCATAAGAAACCTACCAATACCATCCAATGTCGATGACCTAATGTAAAATGTAATATAAAATTGTTATCTAAGGAAGGAAAAAATCATTCACATGCTTGAGATAGTAATTTGGCTAATCTAATGCAGTTAGCTGCCGTATTTTTTAACATGTTGATTGAGGTACGTATGTTTTTATTTCCTCTTATTCATCATAGGAACACAGAACAATCCAGACAAGGAAACTACTTGAGAGTACTAGTTGCTACACAACCAGGTTGATAGATGTTTCCACGTTTTTTCTAAATTGAAATATCCCATAGATTAATACCAAAGTTCATATATGTATTTCTCAAAAAAAAAAAAAAAAAGTTCATATATGTATAGTATAGGGAACCAAAGTTAAGTTGCACTACATTTCTTATCTTTTGGTTTTCCTTGGTTGGCCAGATGAAGAAATTATAGAACAAGATAATTTGTAGTATCCGGTTTAAAGCTGAACCGAAATTACTTTGGTTCTACAGAAATCCGAGCGCAATGGAGAGATCCGACAAACCACGACCACTCCACCACCTGATATACAGGTAATCATCCAAAAAGTCGCCACGTGTCATCACACATTCTCCTGACTTTTACCACCACCATCATCATGAAACCCACACAAACACAACAATCATACAAAAGGCAACAAAATAAATTAAAATCCACTCTTCACCAAGATCTGGTGCTAACACATTCCCCTAACTTCCTAACCGAAAAATGGAGGAGAGTTTGATCAAGCGCCTCGAAGCTGCCGTTACGAAGCTCGAAGGAATCTCAATCAGCGGCGGAGGAGGAGGAGGAGCTATTCTTTCCCGCGGAGGAGATTTCTCTTCCGGAGACAATGTCGCGGCGTCTGATCCATCGATTCTGGCTTACGAACATCTGATATCGCAATGCGTAGGTAGGATTCTCACCGCGGCTGAGAAGATCGGTGGACCTGTTCTCGACGTGACGAAGATCGTCGCCGAAGCGTTCGCTGCGCAGAAGGATCTGCTTGTTCGCATCAAGCAAACTCAGGTAAACGGGAATAGATGATCCTCTTCTATACTAAGCTGTAATCGATTCTTTGGATTTGATTTTGATTTTGA